TTCTGAGACTTTGGTATCAGATAAAATTCTGAAAGCTAAGCATTCTTTCCAGAGATAATTATGAATAGACTGATAACTATTTTGAAGCCATTTCTTTGACTCTGCTGCCAGGTTTTCTCAATTATATATATTCTTTCCATATAAGACTAGCTACTGAAATAGTCCAGAGATCTCCAATTGCCTTAAAAAGAATATGTCAAAAGAAATGCCAGTGGTGACAGTAGACTTCAGGATTGGGTCTCTGAGTCAGATGGACAAGAAGGAAGCAAACGTTTGTGTGTTGCTGTCAGGGTCACTGTCCTCAGCACCACTTAGGACTCCATCTCTTGGTGCCCCTGAAGGATGTGAGTCCTGAAGTCACTGCAGGGGCATGACTCTCTCTGCAGTTTAGGCTGGCTTCTCATCACTGTTTTCCTATGCTTTTCTCCTCTGCTTTCCAATGTAACCAGCTGGACAGTGCTGCATGGAAGAATTGGGCACCCAGAGAACCCTTTCCGAGTGGCCTTAGAATACATCTCCAGTGGAAACAGAAGCTTGTCTGCAGTAGACTTCTTTGCCGTGAAGAACTGCAGTGAAGGTATCTGAACATGGCTTTTCCCTCCACTTCTTGGTAGCCTGTTGTCTTAGGCTTGTCCATAACCTGCAACTGCGCTTAGCTGGGAATGTGCACACTTACATAGAAAAGTCTACAGTGGTTAGGGGCTGATTCTGAATACTACCAAGTGCTCCATAGAGCACTTAATGATCAATAAAAGAGCACACTAATAATCAATTTTCAAAGATCCAGTATAAAATTGTATCTACTTAATTTAAAACTTCATCAGATAGAATATAGTCTTTGTTAGATAACACATTAGCTTAACTTCCCTGGATGACAAATGCTTTCAACTATTTTTTTTAATGTTTATTATGGACATTTTCAAATGTATACAAAGTAAATATAATAGTGCAATGAACTCTCTTGCACCTCAACCCAAATTCAACAGTTGTCAACATTGTGCCATTTTTGCTTCACCAATATCTCTACCCATTTTTCACCCTCCCCCCAACTTGATTTTTATTTTCCTTTTTTTATTCCTCAGATAAAATTTACAACTAAGTATTTTTAATGATTTTATTTAAGCTGTTATTAATGGACAACATGGGAAATGGTTATATGCAAAATTTTTGCCTTATTTTGTAAAAACCATCAGGGCATGGTCCACTGTGTCATTGAATCCTCTTGCATAAGTCATACATTATGAATTCATCTCATAATTTATTACCAAGAGAAAGAATATCTCTCCTGAAGAATAATTTTGTTGATATTTTTTCCTTTTGCCTTTGCTGCTAGGAAACTCTTTACTAAATGCAATATTCCATCATAGTAATTATATCGGTGTAGGGATTTGATAAGCTTTTCCACCTTCCCTCTACAGAGTTTTTGATCTTCTATTCCTATTTCAATATTATGTTTTATATATACCTTTCATTAAACACTGCCACCAGTCTCACTGGTAAGCAGGATAAAATTGATAATCAGTAGACATATGAGGTTGATCTTTCTTTGGTTCTTTAGAAGGCTCAGGGTCATAACTATAAGCTTCCTTTATTATTTCCCATATGTGGAGGGTATGGAAGACAGGCTTGAACTATGAGAAGTCACTTGCATTACTGCTGTTCTTCTGCTGTGCCTGCCTCTGCTCAGAGGCTCACTGGAGAGGTCGCTCTCATCCGTGCCACAGAAACTGTGGTCCGAGAGGCCCAAGAATAAAATGTGGACAGGAAGGAAGCCTAGGGCACTCTTAGATCCTGAATCCTCAATCTAGGCTATCCACAAACAACCATAAAGGCCTGTAACACCCAGTCATCTGTTGCAGGTAGAAGCCTAGATCTGAATCTGTGTCTCTTGGAGGTAATGTTCGAAAGGGACTCCCTAGGTAAGGACCACCCAGCTTCTTATGCTGCTGTGGCCATTTATTTATTGCTGGTCTCACAAGATCTTTAACAAAGTACTTTTCGTTGATGTTGTTTTAATCAAAACTGGTTTATGTATGGGTAAAGGAAAAATCACCAGAATGTGATAGATTGAACTTCAGTTCAAGTTGAAAAAGTGGTTAAGCTGTGATATGGGGCTGTGTACAAGAAACATGTGGTTTGGGAGCAAGCCAGGAGCTTGTACAAATGTTTCTGTACTCATGAAC